ATATATTTCCCAATAAGTCATTTATTTTCTAAAGGTAAAGAAAATGAAATATTTCAGAAAAGAACATTCTGAAGAGTGGCATAGGGATTCAAAACATTGCTGGTCTAAGGAGTTGAGTTCCATCACCCACTATGTCACCAACTGGCTACTCAGTCTGTTTCTGGATGTGGAAAATGAACCTTTGACCTCCATAAAGTCAGGCCCATCTCTTAAAATATGTAAGCCATCAGATAAATGCATATATATATAGACTCACTCATGCAGTTTGCTCTCTCATACACACACACATACACACACACACTTACTTTTCCGTAATATATTTGTCTTTGAATAGCAACTCAGATCTAAAGCTGTACCTATTTTCTGGGGCTAGACAGCCTCTATAGCAAAAAGTACAGCAAATGCAGATACAACTTCACAATTCACCCTCTCTGGGAACAAGGAGATGGCCAGTATAGTACAACAGAAATACAAAACACGTCCATAAAAAATTAGGAATCATCTTGCTCTGTAATAATGCTGCTCTGGATATATTCATATAGAGAAATTCTTGTTAGCATTAATTGTTGTGAATAACAACTTCCCACTCATTTTCTAAGTTTAAACCAGCAATGTGTCAGGAAATGAATTAAAGAAACCAAACATTCCATCCAACCCCTTGACATATGTAAAACGTCTGGTCTGCAGTACAATTCCATTCTGGACCTACCATCAGACTAAGAGCCTTTACATAAATACATTCTTGACAATTGTTTACAGATAGTTCTTCTAATCTCCAGCTATTCAAAAAAGCAGCACCAGAAGCACTCCTGTCCTTCAGTTCAACAACCCCAGCATTAATCTCGCCTAATGTCTCTCACAGACGCATGACATTTCTTCCCCAAAACTGTAACTCACCAAGGGCTTCACTTTCCACTGCAAAGTATCAGGTGTCTCAAAGCTCCATAGCACACAGTACAAAGGAAATGTTTGTGGTCCATGGATTCCAGCCACTTGAGTTAAACAGTAGCATCTGGTTGTGAGGCAAGGGACACTTCAACTCAGCGTTTTCCACTCCGCTTTGCTGTGTGGACTAAAGGGGTCCCTTACGACAGGACAAGATTCTAAGCTTAACTGACATCCCTGCCTTCTAATCCCAGCTGGCTAATCAGCCCAAAACATGCTGTGGGAAATCTCCACCCAGAAGACTGTGAAAAGTAAGACAGTGACATTTGTAGAATTGACTTTTTCTGCCAAGTAAGAAAATACTTAAGTAAACGGGGAGTAATGCGATAGATAAAATAAATACCTCCAAGTATGTTTGCTCCACAATACCAAAAGAAAAGAAGACTGACCTGTCCATAAATTTCAGAGGAGAATGCCTGTTTTTAATTTACTATTTGCTTCAATAAAACAAGGGTAACTTAGTAGTTTATAAACAATTTAGTAGCCACAGTATCAGGCAAATTAAACAAACAGAATCACCACCAATTATGCTCAAAATCTCCTTAGTTTCATTTAACCATTAGTTTAATCTGACAGTGAATAGAAAAAAAAAAAGAGAGAGAGAGAGAGAACTGGGATCTTGGGACCACATTGTGGCACAGCATTAATCCACTGCTTACAGGGCTGATCTGAGTCCTGGCTGTACCACTTTCAATTCAGCTTCCTATTAATGCACCTGAAAAGGCAGAAGATGGCTGTAGTACGTGGGCCCCTGCCACTAACGTGGGAGACCCAGATGAAGTTTCTGGCTCCTGACTTCAGCCTAGCTTAGGCCTGTCTGTTACGGCCATTCAGGGAGTAAACAGAGGATGAAAGATCTCTGTCTCTTGTTCTCTGTTACTCTGCTTTCAAATAAATAAATAAATTTTTTCTTAAAGAAAAGAATAATCCACTCAAAAATGAAATTGATTCTTTTTAGATGGCCCATAAAATGTGGAATAACATATTATAAAAATGTTTTCACAAAGCACTTTAATCCAATTTTATAAAAATACCATTGAGAAAGTAAAATACTATATGTCAAGCATCCCAAATAATTGGCTTTATTTAAGGTCCATGCACCTTGACTTCACAGCTCTGTGATACGGTAAAGGCCACCTAATCCTCTTCTTCATTCATAAGCAGACAATTTCTAATTTGCATCAGCATCTCCACTTGGATGTCTCAGTGGGATCACAAATTCATTCCAACTCACCATCATCGCCATACAAATATACATGCTGCTTATCTCAGTGAGTTGCCCAAGAACCACTGCACTAATTATGCAACCTGGAACTCCAGAGTGTCTTTCTTGAACCCTCATGTTCCTCACTTTCCTATATGCAATAAATTTCCTTCTATTCCCATCTTACCTTTGAGGTATCTCCTATACATCTCCTTAAATTCACAGACACTGTCACATTCTGAGTCTAAAGCCACAGGCCAACAGTTTTCAAACCAGTTTGCCCACAGGCAATCTTGCCTTCTCCACTCTATGCAGGACCTGGCATTCAGACTGACCTTTAAAAATATGAATATATATATATATATGTATATATAGCATTCTCTGGCTTACAATTTTTCTGCTGCTTATCAGTGCCCCTAGGAAAAGGAGTAAAATATTGCGAACTGTTTATAAAGCTGTGCATGTGGCCCTTGTCTCCATGGTGCCCTGTACTCCTAAAATTTTGGATCTTCTTCCTTGAGAAGACTGGTTCCTTCCTTGTCTTGAAGGCTGTTACTCATACATATCCTTTCCTCTCTTCTGGAACGTTTGGAAGGCTCTTCCTTTCCTGCTATTGAATCCTCATTTCTGTCTCTTTCTTTCTCATTATTCAGGTATCTACTTAACCAATATTTCTTAGAGAAACACTGTCTTGATTCTATGGACAAGGTCAGGTTCCATTAATTATATCCTTGCAAAAGGTCTGGTACTTTTGCATCACAATCCTCAGTGCATTTGTAATTATTTTAGTGTCTGTTTTCCACAAGACATGATAAGGGACCTAAGTGCAGGGACCATGTCCATCTTGTTTACGTTGTATCCCTAATCTCATCAAACACCATACTTGCCACATGTGGTCCAATCATAAGATGGATAAATATTTGCTGAATTAACAAATGATTCTGATTTAGTGCTTGACTTGATAAATGCTCACAATCGGTAGAGAAATGCACATAAACTATAATGCAAGACAGCCTTATTATAGAAAATAAGTGAAAGGACTACTTCATCCTATGGAAAAAAAATCAGTTCTGCAAGGGAAATAAACCTATGAGAAAGGCTGTATGAAGAAGTCTTCTTTCTGGTGCTGGGCTATGAAACAAGCCATGGAGAGCTGGCAAGACATTCAAAGAGGATAAAAAAGGTTTCATGCAAAAGAAACAATTCCAGCATGGCGTCAGATACATGCAGAGTCTATGTCTGGTGGTGGAAGACACTGAAATACAGCAAGTGGCCAGGAGGTAGAAAGCTCTCATTAGCAGCATTAAACTGTGAAAGAGAACCCTCATTGGAAGGTTTCATCACTGGAAGAGTATATAATCAAAGATGGCAACACATGTTTGATAGGTTGAATGGGAGTGTGGGGATCAACTCATGGGGCATTACAATATTTCAGAAAGAAAGTACCAAGGAAAGAAATAGAAATGATTCTGCAGTAAAATAAACAGCACTGCTCAAATAAGGAAGGGATGTTACAAACTAAATGGAAAACCAAAATGCAGAATGTATGGGGGAAGGATAGGAGATGGTAGGTTCTAGTTTGGAGACTCTACATTGTATGTGTCTATATGATGTTGAACAAGTAGTTAAAATGTGGAACTAAGAAACAGAATACAAATAAATTTCAGATACTTAAGCTCAGGGAAATTTTATCTGGACCATAATCAATTAAACATTAATCCAAGATCTTGTGACAAATATTTCTAAAATATTTTCTACAAAAACATGTTTTCATTAATAATAAGAAAATACAAAGAATAATTGAAGTTATCTTACAATTATTGTCTGAATTTTCAATAGATTATTTGCCAAATTTTTATTTTATTTAGGTATTAGGAATAAAACTTCTCATAATTTTATCCTGTCTTCAAAATAGTTAATTTTCTGGGGCCAGTATTGTGGTGCAGAAGGTTAAGCCACCTCTTGCAACACTGTACCCCATATTGGACAGTAAGTGAGTCCCAGCTGCTATGTTTCTAATCCAGCTTCCTGCTAACATGCTGAGAAGCAACAGACGATAGCCCATATTGCAGGCTGGCCTTCCGCAACTCATGGGGAGACCAGGATGCAGTTCCTGGATCCTGGCTTTGGCCTCACCCAGACCTGGCTGTTGCAGCCATTTGGGGAGTGAAACAGCAGATGGAGATCTTTCTTTGTGTCTTTCCCCCTCTTTCTGTAGTTCTGCCTTTCCAATAAGTAAATAAATAATCATCTTTAAAAAAAAAAAACAGTCAATTTCCTGTTATTGTTAGAATGGAAGGAACTCAGTTAAAACATGCTTTTTCTCTGCCTAGTAGGAAAATGGTATCTTATTTTAAAAATGTATTTATTTGATAGGCAGAGAAGGAAAGAGAGAGAGAGTGAGCAAACAAGAAAGCAAAGACTTCCATTCACTGCCTCACTCCCCTACAATGACTGGGGCTGGGTGGGGCCATAGCCAGGAGGTGGGAACTCAGCCTGGGTACCCACATGGGTGGCATGAATCCAGTTAACTGTAGGAGTCACCTACTGCCTTTTAGGGTCTGCATTGGCAGGAAACTAGAACTAGAAACTTTGGCCAGGACTTGAATCCAGATATTCTCATGTGGGACGCAGGCATTTTAACTTCTAGGCAAAAATGTTAACCCAAAAATAATCTTTTATGTAAAAAACAATTTTAATCTTTGTAATATGTTCTATGCAAAAAAGTTTAAAATGATGTACAGAATTCTTTGGAAGGTCATCCTAACATTTCAAAAATGTTAACATCTGAAATTATGTCACCTTTAATTATCAGAAGAATATCTGAAGAATAATAAAATACGACACTTACTTTTGCTGCACCTATCTGTTCTTTTCGAAATTTCTCAAGTGGTGCAATTAAAACATCATTAGCGTTTTGAATCTGAAATTAAAAATGCACATATATTAAATTCTGCATAATTTCATGCCAACAATTCAAAAATAGCTCCTTTATTCAATTTATTGAATACAGAAAGCTTTTGTCTCTTGTTTCCTTCTATAAAAATACCTTACATGTTGCATAATACTTTTCTACTTTATAATTAAGCTTTTTTCCACATATTAGTTCCCTTGGTTGTAACAACAATGTGAATAATTTGAAAGTAAGAATTAATTTTGTTGGAATCTTAGTTTGAATAATTAAATTTCTTCTAAGACTTAACTAAGTAACAGTACATTGGGCATTGAATTTATGAAAATCTTTAATTATACTGGTTCACTGTAGCCACTTCAAGAATCATTTTAAAACTGAACCACAGAATAGCTCTCCCATTTTGCCACTAGAATGTTATAACTGTATAGCTGCAAAACAAACCAAGTTTCATTTTTTTCTCTCTATTTAATTAGATTCCTCACACTTGAGATCTGCATGAAATGTTCTCATAATATTTCCAATCCTACTAAAATAGTATCTAATTGGATTTCAATGAAAAATATTTCTCTAGAACTTTAAATCAGGATTTAAACTTTAAAATGGATAAATCTTTTAATATTGGCCTGTAAGAGTATTATAAGAAGGTGCAAGGTACAAGGGCCAGGGACTAGATTCTGGTTCTAAGGATAACATTATGCTGGAAGGAATCTTGATTTTTTTTTTTTTTTGGAAATAAAAATTCTTTAGAAAGCATTAAAATAAAAAGGAGACCATTAACAAAATTTAACTCATCTTTAAGGGTGAAATGTTATCAAAATTTAAAAACTTTCATTACATTGCTTAGCTTCAAGATAAGTTTTAGTTCTTCAATTCCATAAACTAAAAATACAGAGATAATATACACAACAACAAAAACATGTTGACTGCAACTCCCCATAGTCTTATCATTGCCCCGCTTTTCAAGAAAATGAAATAGCTCTTATAAAGAGGACCTGAAATCCTTAAGCATACAAAGTAGATCAATACTCAAAGTCTTTTCAAAGACATTGAGGGCCAACTGCAGGTATCTCTGACATCCATCACCAATTTCTGATTTGTGAGTTTAGGCAGACATGCTGCCAGATATATAATGCAAGTGTCCTACTGGAAATAATGATAAAGTAGGTCACCTTTAATTCTCTCTGCAAACCTCTTTGCACCAGTACACACACACACACACACACACACACACACTAGTTAATTCTACCTTTAAAGCTAAGTTTGCAAAAGGGAAAAAAAGGTATCATGAACCTGCCATTTGGTGGAACAGCAATAATAAAGACTACCATTTACTAAATGATTGGTTACTTTATGTTGGTAACTTCAATAAGTACTTCACCAGCACAGCAGATGTATTCCAAACAAGTGAACTAAAACTTGAAAACATTTCTCAAGTGGGGAAACACAAGAAAAAATGAGATTGAAGACAAGAGGCAATATTATGCTTAATATACTGGAAATGAAGAATACTTGGATTGAAACCCAGTTCTTGGGGCCTGCACCATGGCTCACTTGGTTAATCCTTTGCCTGCGGCACCAGCATCCCATTTGGGCCCCGGTTCTAGTCCTGGTTGCTCCTCTTCCAATCCAGTTCTCTGCTGTGGCCCAGGAAAGCAGCAGTATAAGATGGCCCAAGTGCTTGGGCACCTGCACCCGAATGGGAGACCAGGAGGAAGCACCTGGCTCCTGGCTTCGGATAGGCACAGTGCCACCAGTGGCGGCCATTTGGGTAGTGTACCAACAGAAGGAAGACCTTTCTCTCTCTCACTGTCTATAACTCTACCTGTCAAATAAATAAATAAGAAAGAAAGAAAGGAACAAACAAACAAACAAACCAGGTTCTTTTTTTTTGAGGGTTGTTTTTTAACTGCTCTGAGTAGCAACCACATTATCTACTTAACAAGTTGATTTTTAAGGACTCAAGAGGTAATGAATTTTTTTAAAGGTTTATTTATTTATTTGAAAGTTGGAGTTACACAGAGAGAGGCAGAGGCAGAGGTAGAGGCAGAGAGAGAGAGGGAGAAAGAGAGAGTGTGTGAGTCTTCCATCCACTGGTCCATTCCCCAATTGGCCGCAACGGCCTGAGCTGTGCCAATCCAAATCCAGGATCCAGGAGCTTCTTCCGGGTCTCCCATGCAGTTGCATGTGCCCAAGGACTTGGGCCATCCTCTACTGCTATCCCAGGCCACAGAAGAGAGCCAGATTGGAAGTAGAGCAGCTGGGACTCGAACTGGCACCCATATAGGATGTTGGCACTGCAGACAGCAGCTCTACCTGCTAAGTCACAGCACTGGTTCCAGAGGTAATGAATTTAAAACACAGTTCAGTGCCTTCCATATATGAAGGATTTTCAAAGAGTGTGAAAATACATATTGTGAAAAAAAACTGTTTATGGACTTCAAAAATTTTCTGCACCAACATAAAATTACCTTTCAATTCAATTTTGCACAAACTTCTTGAAGAACTATATATAGTAACTGATCAAAAAAGATAGCTTTTTACATTTCCAAATAAACAGATTATTAGTTTCATTTTGTATTTACCTGCTTAATACCCTTCCATACCTGAACCTATACTGCCCTTTGGTTGAACTATACTTATGTTTATATTACAAGAAGGTATTTTCTCATCAAAGTCCTGTAAGACAGATGGCCTGGCCTCCCCTACATGTAATCACCAGATATATATATATATATACACACACACACACACACACACACCCAGCACAGCACTGGGGTCCCTGGGAGACAGGAAAAATAAGACAGGCTAAACCTTCCAGAAAGTTAAAATTGAGAAGGGAAAAACGAATGTATTCATTCAACAAGCATTTGGTGCTTATAAAGCACTCCTTAGAAGTCAGTCATGACTGTGAGCACATTGACAAAGCTACAGGCTCTCAGATAACTTATCTAAAAAAGGACTCATGAAATAAATGTAAGGCGCATCAATCATTGTCTGGCACATACCAGAATCCACGGATGTACCCTTTGTTATTTCTAAGTAATATTTGCATGACCATTACAAAACTGGAAAAGGGAGTGTGCATTGTTATATTTCAGTTGAGGGAACTCAATTGAAGTAAGTAAGGATAGTCTGGATTATACTAAAAATCTAGGCAAAGAAGTCTGAATATGGAATCATTGCTGCGTTCTAAAGAGAGGAATACTATTAAATAACTTTTCCTAGGAAGCAACACACGTAAGATGCAGGCCCTTCATATGTAAGCTAGTTTTGGGAAGAAAAAGGTGGTGACAAGCTAGGCTAGCTAAGCAGCTGGAAGAGGAACTCCAGGCTAAAGTCACAGAGATGAGACTGGGTTCCTACAGTGTTGACAGAGGAGTAGTAGAGAATTAGCAAGATATTTCCAAGAGACATTAAAATAGTTATTGGCTAGCAGGATAAATGGGAAACAACAGCAACACTATGGTTCCAACCTCAGACACTGGAACTCTGTAACCATGTTCAGAAATGGGGCAAATGAAGTAGAGCGTAGGTTTGGTAGAGAAGGAGTAAAGACAATTTCATTTTGGATCTATTACATCTAATGTCATAGGAAGTCTCAAATACTGTGGCAGAAAATCCCACTTCACAATGACCAAACTAATCAATATGAATGTGTGTGTGTGCACGTGTGTGTGTGTGCATGTGTGTTTAACTTGGGAATGATAAGATTAGGAAAGTTGATAGGCCAATCCTTATAATATGTTCTTGGCACCCACACCCATATCCAATGGTTCAAATCTCTGCTAAAACCCTTCTCTGGCAGCTATATAAATATGACCTGGGAATAAGGCAAAAGCCTGAGGATATAACAAAATGGGATAATTAACAACCACCTTATGAGGCAAGTATTATTTCATATCTCTATTGCTTCCATATTTCCTGGTTCATTTTTCTTTTGGTTTTGGATTTGCTCCATGTTCTTCTCTTTTACTCTCACTCTGTTAATATGAAACTAGAGGAATACAAAAAAAAAAAAAAAGTGGCAAAGGTACTCAGAAAAAAATGAGGCAAGAGGAGAAAAACATCCAATAGAGTGAGGGAGATAACAAAAGAAATGATTTGTTGAGTGTTTCTCATGTGCCAAAGAGTACACTAAGCTTTTCACAATGTAGAGACTAAAGCTGCTTTTATATGAGTAATGAAGTCCAACATGTAAGAATCATCTGGAATGCATTAAGAACGTGAGTGCTAAAGTTAGACAGACCCAGCTTCATTTGAATCTCAGCATCACAACTGATAGCACTCGGTGTCTTCATCCTTATACCTCTTAAGGTTTTTATGAAAATTAACTGAGAAATAAAAATATTTTTAAAAGTTCTTAGCATAGATTTGGCATTTGATAAGGTTATGATACATATAAGCTTCTTTAAGAAACTGACTGAATGTGTATTCTGTTCATAATTGTCCAAGGCCGTCCTTAGAATTTCCCCCTAAATGATTTAAAATGTAGTTATTCAATACTAGAAGATAAAAATCTAAATTAATTTAACCGAATGGCACCTTGCCAGAGGCATAACAATAGCAGATAACCATGAATCCAATTTTTCCCTTAAACCGTCACAACATATGTGTGGTTGTACATATGAATCACGATATGCCTTTTGTGTGAAGTCAATTGCTGTTGTTCCCAATATGTGGACTTAAATCAGCAAATCAAGATGGAAATGCCAATACCAAAAGGGCACTAAGTGGATTTGTGACCTGATTTGGCTGGTTCTGACCCTCATTTTGAGGGTCAGAATCCTGGGAAATGCTTGACTTTGATCCTTGCACATTGGTCAATCACCTGACTGAGATTCTTCAATTCTGAAATAATCCAAAGAAGGTGCTAAATTTTGGTAAGATGTAAAGAATTATGGTTGTTCCTAAAAGAAAATGACATGCAAATAGAAAACTCTTATTAAAATGTGAATTGGGGTACAACTCTGTTGACAAACTTTGGGAAAGCTAAAAAAAAAAAAAGTCTT